ATATACAATGTCTCTGAAATTGTAACCAATTGACAACTTCGTCGCGGGTTGGTGTGTTCCAAAGAAATTCCAATTTGACTTACTCATTACGGCAATCAATATTTTTATAATCCAAATTGTCAAAAAAATATTGAATATTTTTTGTAAATTAGAAGATCTCCAACTTTATTGCGTTGCTTTGTTTCAGAATAGTAACTTTTCTTGTTTTTGTACGAGTATTACGATTAGATCACTTTTCCTTTAGCCAATCCTTTGCTTTCCCAGTCTATATTTTATTTCCAGCATGATAAATCAGAAGTAAGCAAGGATAAATAGGTTTGAAAGACGTCGCCACGTTTAAAGCATTGCACTACGAAAAGGCGAGACGTAGGGTCTACCTTTTGTGATTCCTTTTACTGTGTTACACTAAATTATGATCGTAATGCATTTCTAGCATTTTTTGTCGCTGACTTCCGGTCTACGAGGTAATTAGTAATTATTTTCTGCTTTACATCAAGCCCGACAGTTTTCTTTACCCCATTCATCATTTCTAATCATAGTCACTTTTGTGATACTTATGACATCACATAGTTTTCTCCAAATGCTTTCCGAACTTCAATATTTCTCTTTTTAAATATATTTTCATCCTTGATCGACCTTACTGTCCATGTTGGCTGCTGTGAGAAACATAAAGTGATGCTCACTTAATTGATCAAAATGGCATTGAACATCAACAGTTAATTCTCGATCATGACGAGCTTCAATAGCCGTGACGAGCAGCGTTCGTTTCCCTGATCAGCGTTACGTTAACGGAGCGTAAAATAGACGACCGTGTGATGGACGGCACAGAATTCCGCCCAGACGCCCGACTGAAAACTTTTACCAGGCCCCGCGTAACACCTGGGTCGCGCTGCACCGCAGCGACCAACTTCCGTGTGTGCCTCTGCTCCGACCCCTTCCACTTTGGTTCAGTTCAGTCTCCTAGCAAGACACTGCCTTCCGTTTACGACCAATTCCAGTAGCAAACTGAGAGCATTCTCTCGCGCGCTCTAGGCGCCCCCGTCCAAACGTTCGTCATTCTTTTCTATTTGAAAACTCCCGGTGCAACTGTCGTCCACTCTGACCGCAGTTGGCTAGCAATGTTCATAGACAGGCGGCCAAACAGACGGCCGTACGGACGAACAGACGGACGGACAGACAGACGGACGGATAGACAGACGGACAGACAGACGGACGGACGGATAGACAGACGGACGGATAGACAGACGTACGGATAGACAGACGGACGGACAGACAGACAGACAGACAGACGGACGGACGGACGGACGGACGGACGGACAGACGGACGGACGGACCGACAGACAGACAGACGGTCGGACAGACGGACGGATAGACAGACGGACGGACAGACGGACAAACAGGCGAACAGACAAGCGAACAGACAGGCGAAGACAGACAAGCAAAGACAGACAAGCGAAGACAGACAGGCGAAAACAGACAGGCGAAGACAGACAGGCGAAGACTAAATGGCGAAGACTGACAGGCGAAGACAGACAGGCGAAGACAGACTGACAGACAGACACAAGCAAACAAAGGCAGATACGGGCAGACAGATGGACATTTTGCCGTCAAGCGAGTTTTCTGTATCAATGACACAGAAAACACAAAACATGGATTCTGGCGTGGATTATTGGATTATATATATAAAAATGTGAAAAATTTTGAGCATTTTTACTTTCTCGAGATTAGGAAGAAAATTCTTAAGAAGTTTACAAAAAACGGCGAAATTTGGCAGAAAAATTCTTATTAGAGGACCCTGGTAATGAAAATGTGGATATATCATTTATATATTTATCTATTTATACGCCACATTCTCACGGTATTAGGGCATAATTAATTTGTTTGATACTAGTATAACCATTTAACATCTTGGGAAAATTTTAATTTAAATTATCATATTCTCACACAATTTCTTTTATTATAAAGTAGCTTAACTCCCAATATATGAAAATTGTAATTACTAAAGCCAGATCTCTAATTGGCTCAGGGCTCGTGCAACCGCGAACAGCGTCTACCCTTGTAACCATTCGAACGGAAGTAAGTCGATCCTTTACAATTGAAAAGGACACATGCGTGCATATCTCTCTCCTGCTCGCACTCGTGTTATTTGTGCTAAATTCGCACCATTACATTTTATGATGACCTTATGGGTAACATGCCGTTTTCTAATGTGCTGTTTATTAACTGTGATGAACCGTTTAGTGCATATGCTATGGACACCTAATTAATGAAGAACAATGATGACTAAGGGGAGCACATGTGTACTACTCCTGTTATACTTTTTAAATAGTGTTAACATTTACAGTATTCTTTTAACATATTCGTGTATCGTACGTTTTCGCACAACTAACATGGTATTCTCATTCACTTTGACCAATTGTAGTGCACAACTTGTGAACAGCGGTGTTGCAAGTAACAGCGACAGCTTGCTGTTCGGCATATAAAGTCTAGTATCAATGCTGTTGTATATTTCTTGTCTTACAGCATAGTCAGAATCTCATGTCAGGTAAAACAAAGGCGTTCTCCTCAATTTATCAAAATAGTGCTGCTACAGAATTATCAGACTTTTTTTATTAGTTTTCTCTTTTTCTTTGGACTCTGCTAGCTATTCGGACTTGCCACATACTCTTGTAACCTGCCATCTATCGCCGCCAAAAGTATATTTTTTTTATTTTCTTAATTTTCACATTTCCTAATTGTAAAACGAAAATATTACTGTAAGAATTGAGAGAAGAGTAAAAAGTCCTAAAGGCAGTTTTCTTTAAAAGAATTGGAGCCATTTTCAAAAAAATGTCTTAAAGAGCTAATTTTCGACGTTTCGGCGATGTCTTCGTCTGGTAGTCACAATTTTACTTCGCATTTCAGTTTGTATAGCCTTCTTAGGCGGTCGTCTTTATTGATTGCTTAGGCCTTGAATGACTACATGGTGTTGGTACACCTTCAAAACGTGGATTACACTTCAGCTCATATTTTCTGAGAGGAAATAATTCTAAGGCTATATTCCTTCGTTGGTTTATCGACAGATTGCACGAAATATTTGTTAGACTTCCAGTAACGATTTTGTATGCCACTCTCCACACGTCATTGTCCAGTTCTTCATAAAGTTGTTTCCAGGGACTCTTTTTTCGATTGGTTAATAAGTCGAACCAGTTTGTTCCTGCAAGCTCGCTATTTTCCCCACTGCCTTGAATTGCTTTGATTTGCTTGTCTGTTTGATCTCGTCAGTAGTCTTCTCGTTTGGGCGCATATCTCTTTGAGAGTGACTGGTGCAATTGCACCATTGCACCAGTATGCCATGCGTTGATGCGCTCCGTGTACTTGAACACCTGCCCATGTTCGCTACTTTTATTTGTGTTGGTACTTTATTTGGAGGTACATGAGGCTCATGGTTTGTCTCTTCAGATCTATTTTCTATCATCCATAGTAAGAAATTCCTTTAGGCTTCCCAATCAACAACTACTGTACTACACAACCACTACCATCACCACTTCTAGCACCACCACCATTACTACTACCACCACTACCTCTATCACCACCACGACGATTTTTACCATAAAGAATATTCCGAGATCGATCTGGACTAATGCGAATACATGCGATTTTGAAAATAATTCTTTGAATTTAATGGTACTTCGCCGAAATCCATTGGATGGCGTGGGTCACATTTTTAGGTTATCTCTGTGTCATTCAAGAAACTGTCATTCAACAGGACCACTATTGTTTTCTTTATTGCCTACTCATATAGTAAAGAGAAAGTATTGTATTGCTGCAACTAAAAGAGGTGAGTTGTCAGAAAAACCCGTACTATAGTGTTCTGATATCGAATAACTAACAGTATACATAATGTTTCTGTACGTAATAAATTACTTTTTCTATCACGTCGCGTATTCAGAAACCACGGTTTATGGTTCCTAGATACTTGACGACAAATCATCTTCAAAATTCCTTGACGACGAATCGTCTGTTCGACAGTCTATATTATTCAAACGAAACTGATCAAAAGTTCTTGGAACACTTCCCAATCCTTCTGGAGAAACTCAAGGCCTGTCAGTAATGTCTGTCTTGGGAGTACTTAGTGTAACATGAAGTCCAAGAACGGTTATAAGTATCTAATTTTTGTCAAATTCTCAGTAATTTGCAAAAATTGCAAAAATTTAAAGTTCTTCGGCCTGTATCTGTAACTAATATCCAAAAGAGAGCTTTTTGAAGTATTTCCCCAAATACAGATTTTACATAAAGTAATGCACAATGGTTCTGAAATATGTGTAACTTTTGCCTGTTTTGCATGAAATAGACAAATTTTAAACATTTTTCGTTAAACGCGGCTGCTTCCTCAAGAACAGTAGTTCCGTGGTGTCTCCGATCAACACCAGATAAATGCCGAAGTAGTCCCTTAACAAAAGCGCCACGTTCCTCGCACGATCTTTCCTTTTCCGTCCTATCCTCACCCCTTCTTTACACACACATTCACATGAACTATACTATCACACTTGTAGGTGACCAGTCGGGAGCTTAGAACTCGATCCCTTAATGATGAAAAAATTTAAACGTAGATTTGAATTCAGCTTAAAAATGACTACAAATCACATTTTTTATCCAGCAAAAAAAATTATAACACAGTGTAACCATGCTTTGTTGATACCTTTTTTTGTCATTCAAATATGTACAGTAAAATCGAATTATGAAACTCAAGTAAACCTACGCAGATTAAACTTCTACATTCGGTTTTTATCTCTCAAAATACAGGAAACAAAAGCTTATTCACAATATGTGAACTGTCATAATTATTTTATGAAAATTTCTTTCAGATTCTTGCATTTGGAAGTTTTCTGCATATAAGCATAATTTTCTGGAATTACGAATATACATTACCTGAAGAATTGTTTATTTTCTACAATTCAAAACTCTACAATAGGACAATGTTCGTAATATACACTGATTTTAAAGACAAATTGTTCAAAATGTGTGATAAGTATGATAATAGCACGGGCCCTGAAAGTGGGAAGTTTTACAAAGGTTGGGCGTTCAAATATGATGATCTGGAAGGTAAGTTCCATTACTTACACTTGAAAGTATTGAAAGTCAGTAATTGGGATTATAACAAACTTTCATGGTCATTGTTCAAAACCGCAATTTTGTATCTTGAGATTTTACTTGAACTTTTGTAATTCTTTGTTATGAACGAAATATATAGGCAGATAAAAAATTCCTGTTAGGTATATACCGACTTTTTTCAGATTTTCTAATAAGGTAATCATTATTACTCAAAATCACACATTAATAAAAACTATGGAATACTCCAGTTATGTTTTGTTAAATTTACCAACTGTAACAATTTGCAGCTTTACATTGATCAAAAATTGATTTAGAATTTTTAATTTTTACTAGTAGACACGGCAATGCTTCGCTATTGCAATGTATTACACGTTTTACCAACTACTTTCCCTCTGCAAAACTTTTTTATAGAAAAAAGACTTTCTTGCGAGTATGGGTTTGTTCCACAAGGCTTTGGTTTCGACATGATTGTCTAGTACCGTATTGTTAAAACGTTCTCCCTCAAGTTTGGGAACGCATTCGCTATGACACTATCTTAGAGAAATTTGATTTACTTGTCCGAGTTATCCGGACGATTTTTCACAATCGCAGGGGAAGAATATGCATCGAATGTGCGCTTAATACTTGAGTGCGCGGCGGGTTGCGTAGAGCTTTTTTTCAGAGGAGCGTGAGTCGTCATAAATGCAAAATTCATCTGCCCCCGTTTTACGTCTGTGTATGCACATTTCTATTGCACCATTCCCATACCATTCGCGCTAGTGCAAACAATAAATAGACAAAGTTTTATCGGAATCGAATGAACGGTACGCTAGCGCATAAAATACGAACTAACCAACAAACAAACAAACAAACATATATATTTATATATTAGATTGAAGTGTCATTAGAGTCCAGTCGACAAAAACATTTTACTCAGAAAGTGGTCATAAAATTATTTTGCTTTGGGTATGCTGTAAATATTTAGTAGTAGTATTATCATCTGACAGACTCCTTTACTAACTCTAAGATGTACGAAAATCGGTATATCTTCTGACTCTTGAATCGTAACCCGGCAGCGCCCGTGCATCCGGAATGGATAAAGGAAACCCTTCGTTTTCGTCAGGTACCATCTGTTGTTCTAGAAGAGGAAATTAGAGCATTTTCAAAATATATATGGTAACATGAAAAGAACAGAAATCATTGAACTTTTTTATTACTAAAGATTTACTTACTCAGAATGTACTTTATTCTGTGAAGTGCGCGAGTGATAAAAATTACCTCTATTTCAACGTGACGTATACATAATTGCGGTTGAAGTAGTGTTTAGATAAAGGACTTCCAACGTAAAGAAAAAACATGTCTAGAAATGGGTTTCAAGAAATAAAAAAGCTTCATTATTCCTCAGATAGATTAGACAAACAGGACAAATTTGTCAGACAATTTTTTGACATCTTGAATCAAAAATTTAAACAATTTAAAACTTTTGTAGAAAGATTATCTATTGATGTTCAGATGGTAATTACCCTATTTTGTGAATGCCTGCAAATTTAACAGAATTGTGAACAATAAGAACGACAGGTGGATTTTAAATCTGAAGTACATCTCACATTCAGGAAAACATCCATTGAAGTATATGTCATATTCAGGAGAACATTCATTGAAGAACTGGCAACACCCTAAAATTACAAGGACAGTCACATTTGATGGTATAAACCATAAAATTAACAAAGATAATAAAAATATTATAAGGTGTGGCCTCTGCAAAACAAAAACCATTTATTATAATTCAAAATCCAATTTTCCAATCAATGTTTCCACCAAACCAATGATATTGAATCGGGTTTCAACAAAACATGCGAGACGGGGTCTTCCTTGATATCTCCTAACTTCCTATACGTTATGGCGCCTACTATAGCTCGCTTAACTGCACAGTGCGAGGCTCTGGTAGTAACGTTGAGAAGTACTGTATTTCAAATGTAGAATATGATTTCACGCAAAAATATGACTTTTTACAAAAATAATGTATCTCTAGCGATCGGTACTTGAAAATGCATATCTTAGACTGGATTTGTATCAATGAGAACTTATAACTGTTCATTACATATTAGGCGCCACATTTAAATAAAATGCGAAAGCAGTGTGGATCAACACGATAACATAATAATAACATAAAAATACACTAATAAAAATAATATTAAAATTAGAATAGCAAACCGTAAGTTCCTCAATTAATATGTCTAATGTGTACTATTTGAAAATTCTAATATGTTTTCCATTATAATTCTACTAATATGTTTTCCTCTATAATTTGTGACAATAAAATTAATTGATAATAGTAATCTGTAAACAGTTTTAGATATGGATGGAGGAGATGACAGATACCACGGCGTCTACAACGATACTGATACTGATCTCGACCAAGGGAATTTTTCTCTCTCCGATAAATCCTCAAGTGACTTGCAGATTCACAAGCGTCTAGTGAATAAATTTAGTGAACGACGAGCTGTGCGGTATAAACGACATTTTTCTACTACATCAAAATGCAACGCAAGTGATAAGTGCGTGTAAGTAGAAAATTAAAAAATAAATAACGGTACCCATTTAATTTGTATTGGAGCTATGACTATGTTAGTGATTAACATATACTTTATTGATTAAACGTAAATACACATCAGGAAAACACACAGAAACTTAGTATTAAGAATAATAAAAATGAACATGAGTTACTAATAGCATCTCTCTTTTTACCTAAAATCACTTTGGTAAATATTCTCATCTTTACATTTTTCTACCCTTCCCTTCTGAATGCGCTCTAATTGCATACACCATGACAGATGTATATGGCGCAGTTTCAATAACACACATTTTCTCATTTCTCTCAAGTTTCTTGAGTTATTCTAAAATTATTATTATTATTATTATTATTATTATTATTATTATTATTATTATTATTATTATTATTTGTGTATCGGCAAATTCTCATCACACTATATGTTATCCTCCGAGGCCCAGTCGTATCTATTCCGGAGAGAGATTAACGTGTGTCATTATAGGGATCAGCTTTTCGGCTGTATTCCTTAGTAAGACAAGTTTGTTAAGCGTAGTGAAGAAAAAGCTGGTAATGATAATTTTCTAATGAGAAAGTAAGTGTAATAAAAATGTTAACAGGAAAATTTCAATATTTCATTACTCATAACCCGAAAAGGGATTTCATATTTCGACCATCAGTCGGGGTGGGATTATCCCACAAATTCAGTCAGTTGTGATAATTGTCTACACAAATATAATTTTTATGGAACTTAGGGGCATGAGTTCTCTGCACTCATGGGATCACCAATGTCGTTCAAATTAAATCAAATTCTTTTCACAAAATATACTATAATATCACTCACCTTAGTTCCATTCACAAAAGAATATACAAAAAAACAGCATTTAATTGAAATCTTTCCTGAAAAGAACAATTCTTACATAACTATCACATATCTTGTATATACACTTCCACCCACTGTGTCACATCATTCCAATATGGTCCCCTCCTAAATTACAATTATAAAACAAAGTTGAAGATTTTGATGAATTTAAATACATTCTTTAAGTAATTACCTTCTTTTAAATTCAGATATTTAAGTCATAAATTATTAAAAGAAAGCATCCATTATAATCATAAGTACACCTCTTCTTAATCATAACCATTTTCTTTGGTGCTCCACACAACTACAACTTCCATTAAGTAACAAAGTTTCCTTTGTGTAGCACTTTCTAATTCTGTTTACACACATCCGTGAATCAGTAAGTACTTTCAATACTTGAGTACAATATCGTATCTGTTTCGTAAATTCACGTTATTCAAAAATGTTTAAACTGAATGCACACGATCTTTTCAAATCTGTATTGAAATAATTCAATTATCTCTTTTGAGTATCTGTGAATAGTTTCGATAGGTTCCAGAAGTCGTCCGTATAGGCTGCCCTAACATCGTGTCACTCTCGGCCACTGTTCCGATCTCTCGAACCTTACCAAAAGACTGGTGTTCGCGAAGGTAAGAGATCTTTTCGTATGTTTTTGACTCCAGCGAACAGTTTTGTTAAATTCTAACACTCGTCATGAGGCGCGCGTTGTATGAAGTTATCTGTAACTCTCTCTGCTTGAGAAATGTGTCTGCATTTTCCTCGTCATAGGCAAAATGAGTGGTCACAATATTTTACACAGTGTTTCAGATTTTGGTTTCCTAATAGTAGTAAGGAAATATTAGTTTTGAAATATTAAAGAACAGTAAAACCCTGCCTAAAATGGCAATTTTCTTTGAAAAATTTTGATGAAAATAGCGTTTATGCGCTACAGTAAATTCGAAATTTGAAGCTCTTTTTCACAGAAATTTTGAATTTTCTAAAAACCTTATTAGAAGTCATTAACACACTTTTCTTCATAAATAAAATAGTGTTTACAAATTGGTGGAAACTTGCATATTAAGGTCGTGAGAGATCGTCCGAAAAAATTACATTTGTGTAATTTTAGAAACAAATACCCCAAAATGAAATTAATGTCACATTAAACGGTGCAATTATTCCTCCAAAAACTTTAGAACAAAGTTTGGAGCAGTTTTTTGAGAAAATGGCGTTCGAGCGTTTCTAAAAACGCGACATTTTGAGCTATTTTTCACAGAAAATGGTTGAGTTTTCGTGAAACGTTATAAGGCATTATTTAAAGTACTTGTACTCGTGAATATAATAATGTGTACAAATCACCGCTAATAGAAATATTAACGACTTGAGACACACGCCAAAAAATACATTTTTGTAATTATTGAAAAAACCAAAAATATAGAGAAAGAAATTTATATCATCATAGAGTTCATTTACAAATTACGTAAAGAAAATTTCCTCAAAAATGGCTCCTAATTTTGTTTTTAACTTTTGGTAGGGATAGTGCTAAATATTCTCTAAAAGAAAGATGCCATATTTATCTATATCTGTTTCAACAATTATTAAAATGTAATTTTGTGTATTGTCTCTCATGTAATTAATATTTATATTAGCGGCAAATTGTTCACATTATTATATATAACTAATAATAATTATAATTTATTATATTTATTTGTTCGCATTATTGTACTTGTGCTTTAAATAATATTATATAAAGTTTCTCGAAAACTCAAGCGTTTTCTGTAAAAGCTAGCTTAAAATTCCGCATTTTCAGAATCGCTCAAACGCCATTTTCGCAAAAACGGCAACAAATTTGTTCTTCGAACTTTTCGAAAGAATAGTGCTAATTGCACTTTTTTAATATGACGTAAAGTTCATTTAGGGGTATTTTTGAGTTTTGATTTTCAAAAATTAACCAAATTAATTTTTTTCAGATTTTTCACGCCAGTTATACGCACATTTTCAGCAATTTGTAAACACTATTGATTTTGTGAGTTGATGAAGTTGAAGTGCTTCAATTGACTTTTTCACAAACTCAATTTTTTGTGTGAAAAAGTGCTTCAAATTTCGAGTTAACTGTAACGCTTAAGCTCCATTTCCTTAAAATCCGATTCAAATTTTTAAGAGAAAATTGCCATTTTGGACCAGTTTACTGCTCTTGTATATTCTTAAAATAATATGTCTGTTGAAGCTTAAAAATTAAGAAAATTTCAGAAAAAGTCCTGGGGCGGCATTAGAGGGCATCAGGCAAGAGTATGTGTCAAGTTCGAGTAGCTAGGCGAAACAAAAAACTTATACTGAAAGTCTGTGCCATTCTGTAGCACCACTAGTTAGTTTCCCGTATACGTACGTATATACGGAGTATTAGGCGTAGTATGGAGAAAATTATGCAATGCTGGGGACAATCGATTGGGAGAGTTCACCGGAAATTCACGTTTTGGGGGACCTCTGATACCGAAAATGTGTTGTTGTTTTTTTCAAAACTTCGTCTGTGTGTATGTCCATCCATGTATCTGTCCATTTGTCCGTCCGTCTGTGGATACTACTCGCTCCTCAACCATACAAAGGATTTGTTTTCCAAATTGAGGAAACCTTTTTCTATTTGGCTTCAGTCGAAACTTTGAAATTTTGAAAACCATTATCAAAATTTGGGGCTATTTTACGTGAAGCCCTCAGAACATTTTTAAAACTTTTTCAACAACATCTCCAATTTTTTTCTTTAAATTTCTTATGATAAATAAATGTATATTCTTTTCTTTTATATTCTTTTCTTTTAATTTCTTATTATAAATTTCTAAGAATAGAGTAACCCACTTGAAAATGTGGCAAAGGTACAATGATTACGGTGAACTCTGCGTTTTTCAATATTTCAAAAGTATGCATTTTTTTGGTGTCTTCCTACAACTAAAAAATGAAAGTTAGAGATTTTATCTTCAAATTAAATTTGTTCTGCATAGTTACTTCTTTCCTTAATGTCAGGTACATTTTTGTGAAAATTATTGTAGTTTTAGCGTAACATAAGCACAATATGTGCAATTTTAAAAAAATTACAGAACGAAGAATTTCTCAAAAACTGCTCCGATTCTTTTTTAACTTTTCATATTGCTAAATGTACTCTATAAGATTACACAAACGCCATATTAATCTATTCTTTTGTTTTTCAAAAATTACAATTTTTTAAAAATTGTCTTTCATGTCGTTGTAATTTACATTAGCGGCACTTTATTCACATTATTGTATTTATTAATGTATGTGTTTCAAATAATATCATATACATTTTCTCAAAAACTCAACCGTTTTCTATGAAAACTAGCTCAAAATTACGCAATTTCAGAAAAGCTCAAACGACATTTTCTAAAAGACGGCTCCAACTTTTTTCTTCAAACTTTTTGAACGAATAGTGCTAATTGCACTCTTTAATATGACGTAAAATTCATTTCGTTTTTTAATAAATTCTCTCTAAATAAATAAGACCTCTCTCACCGTTGCGCATTTCCTGCGATTTGTAAACTATTGTATTTGCAAAGTTAACGTACTTCAAATTACTTAAAGTGAAGTTTTCGAAAACACAAAAATGTTCTGTGAAAAAGAGCTTCAAATTAAGAATTTAAAGTAGCGCTTAAATGCCAGTTTTTTTAAAATGTTTTCAAATTTTTTAAAGAAAATTGCTATAAGGACAAGGATTTAATGTTTTTTTAATAATTTTAAAAATGCGTTTTTTAATAATAAAAATTAGTAATTTATTAATATTTCCGATCTACTATTAAAAAACCTAAACATTAACGAAGTGTCAAAAAAATGTACTTTGGGAGGCGATAGTTGGCAGCAGGCAAAAGTATGTGGCAATTCCGAATAGCTGGCAGACACCAAAGAAAATAGAAAACTAATACGGGATGTCACGGCAAGTCTGTGCCATTCTGTAGCACCACTAGTTCGTTATCAGGGCCCGTGGATGAATTTCTTCCTGCCGAAAATCCTCTTTCATTCGCTTTCATCATACTACGTATATTACTCCGTATATTCAATGGTGTACGGGAAAGTAAAATTAGGGCGCAGTAAAAAAGGTATAAATCCACTCGAAGCTTGTTAATGTCATTTGCAGATATTGTATAAAGATATGATAAAGATTTAGAATCTAGACATCAACCTCATAAACAAATTACAAGGCTAAAAAGGAATATTTAGTGAAGATAGAGTTTTAAAGAAACAATGTATGCAACTTCAGCAACTGCAGCCACGTATGTTGAAAGAAAATTAGGTATGGGAATAGAACCTGATTGGAGAATTAAAATATTATATTTTTAGTTTCCCATATACGTACGTATATAATACCGAGTACTATACGTAGAGTAGGGGAAGTTATGTAATGTTGCGGAAAATCGAGATTTGAACGGAAATACGCGTTTTGGGGTCCCCCGACACCGAAAAAGTACTTTTTGCAAAACGTCCGTCTGTCCTTCTTTTCGTCTATCTGTCCTTACTGCCTGTATCGCCATGGTTCCATAAGCTACTTTTAGAATGTTGTACTCTGTAGGAATTGTGTATTGTCGGGGGTTAAAACTGCTTAGTGTAGAGCAAGTATTTCACCTCAATTAATTGACTTAAACACAATAATTGCTCTCTATCGCAACCATCAAAAATTCATAAAATTAAAGTATTACATATCGTTGGTACACAAAAATTGAAAAACGGCGGAGATGGTTCACAGCAACAACTGTATTAAAAGTATTATAGCCGATTCTTCTTTCATCAATGGTGTCCGGCAGTTTACGTTTCCGATACTACTTTCTTACATTAAGTACTTCTTAAGAGAAGGAAAGTTATGTAATGCTGCGGGAAATGCGGCGAATTTTCGGTAAAAAAAACTCGTATTATCCTGGCAACAAAAAAGTGGATAAACCTAGTTTCTAAATTCAGAAAAAAAATCCTCTATGTAGTGTAGCCAAAAGTCGCGTTTTGTTGGTTCTTGATACCAAAAAATCGATTATGAGCAAAATATCTCTTCGTGTGTCCGTTAGTGAACAACGCTATCGACTAAACTGTACAGCCTATTTCTGCCAAATTTGATATTCCCCAATCGATCTGGCTGGAATCGCGGCCACTTGAATTTGTGTTTGATTAAATGATCAATGCTTGCAGTGTAAAAGCTGATTAATGAACATAAGAACAAATGCATACGTATAATTACATGCGGCACTCAGCCGGAACGCATCTTACGCATGCAACGCACGACGGGCCACAAACAGTCAACGACGGTAAGCAAGGGAACCAACTCCAGTACACTAAATGACTGCACTGCACCGATTCAAAGCTCACAATCACCCACTTTTGAATCACTTAGTTTTAATTTTTTTAATCTACTGGCCTACAAATGACAAACGTTTGGTGAATACATCAGCTACTTTCTCATCTTATGGCACAGACTGAATTTCTACTAGTCCCTCTTCTTTTGTTTATTCAGATAATAAGCAATATCTACGTGTTGTGTTCTAGATTTAACAACTCTGTTTTTACTGAACTCTATTGCAGATTTATTGTCACAATTGGTATGAATTATTTCACAATACAAAATTCTAAACACATTTTCCAACTCACTGAATAACATCTTTACCCACATTGCCTCTTTTACAGTTATTTTTATCACTACATATTCAGCTTCCAAAGAAGATATACTAATACATTTTTATTTTCCTGACTTTCTAATTACAGGATGTCCACTTAAATATACTACTGTGCCACTATAAGAATGAACTATATGTAATTAGTTACTCAATCTGCACCACTAAAAATGTCCATCTTAAAATTTTTCTATATCATACAATATAGTGAAGCTCTTTGTACCTGATAGATACCTTAATACTCTCTTAGCTTGATTCCAATGCAGCATTCATGGTTTGTTCTTGAATAGCGACAATTTCACAACTGCGTGTAAGAAATCAGGTCCTGTACATAAAACCAAATACATTAAAGATCCAATTAACTCCCAGAAATTCCTTTCCTCCTTTTCTCAATCACTCTTTGGGCAATCATCTTTTGTCAATTTAACACTAGGATCTACAGATGTTCTTAGAACCATCACATTCTTCCATCGTGTATTGCTTTAACAATTTTTCTATATATTGTGTTTGGTTTAACTCTATTGAAATTTTCATTAAATTTAACAGAAATGCCTAACATATGAGAAATTTTATCTATACCTCTGCATTCATACGTTTGTATGATCCTATTTTTTATCTCTTGAATTTTCTCTAAAGTTTTGTCAAAAATAAGCAGACATCTACATATAACACTAATATTAATGCATTTCTTTCTTCCACATATACACAACTCTTTGATCTAAACCTTATGAATCCATTTTCAATCAAAAATTTATCTATGAAACATTACCATAGATAGGTCTTAAAAATTTTGCAATTTTGTTTCCTCTACATCATAACCTGGTGGTAATTTCATATCAATTTCTTCATTTATATTAACATATAGCTATGCCCCTTTAATGTCTAAATGGTGTACATGCCATTTGTTATACACTCCTTAAGCTAACAATAACCTAATTACAGACATATTGGCGACAGGTGCACATGATTCAAAGTAATCAATGTTCTTTTCTTATGAATACCCCTGTTCAACAAGCCTTGCTTTAAATCTATTTACATTTTCCTCGTGATCGGTTTTTATTTTTGTTCACCCACCTGCTCCCAATACACTTATCATTTTCTGGTTCATTTGCCATTTCCTATGTATGTCTACTTTCTAAATTCTTTAATTCTTCATTCATGGATTCTACCGATTTATCATCTTCACTAGAGTTTATTGCATCATATTTTTTGAGTTCTATTATTTTTGCTACATTTATTTGAAAATATTTTGGTTTCCCCAATTTTTTATGGGGATTTCTAACTACTTTCTTAGGTCAACCACTCTGACATTTCTTGACTGAAGTTTCCTTAACTTCTGAAAGGCTGCATGCATCTGATTCACTTTCACTGAGACTTGTTTTTAGTTCATTTTCTTCAAATTCCATTCCACTGCGTGATATGCTATCCTTTACATTACTTTCTTTACAAATTCATAGCTAATAATATTTTCAACAAACCTAACAAGGTTTAAATGAATTATATCTTGTTTGATATAATTCTTCCACAATCTATATCCTCTAGTTTGATTGGAATACCCTACTAATATGCATTCTCGAATCTAATTTACTTTTTTCTTCTTCTTGTATCTAATTCACTCCTACCTTGCTTTGGAATTACTACACAAGTTAAACAACCAAATACCCTTAAATGTTTCACAACTAGTTTTTTACCTGTCCATATTCCTCCTGTCACATTATCTTTAATTGCACAATGCATAAATATACTTTTTAGTAACAAGCAGTTGCTACTGCTTCTATCCAAAAGCTTTCAGGAAGTTTGGATGATTTCAACATAGCTCTAATAGAATCCATTAATGTACGATTTGCAATGCATGCCCCGCGAGATCCATATGGGGTGTACATGTATGTTAAAAAGGTTTGATGTTCTAGGGTTAAGCATCTTAAATTATTTTTTGAAGCAGTAGCCCAAGTTAAGCAAACATAGATACTAGCACTACGTAAGCAAGCTTTCTATAGTATTGATTTGGTTTTGTCAGTTAAGGAAGTTGCTCGTAGAATTGAAGTTAATCTTGCGGTGTAATGTCCTACCTTTCTTGCTGCGTTTTTGCGTTGGGGATGCCAAAAGATTTTATTGTCATAAACGATTCCGAGATAATTTATTTATTTTCTCCATAATTTATTTCCTTTTTTGGATAACTTACAGGTGTAATCCTTTACGGCGAGACCTTCGTGTACTTCCATTATAGTAATAATCTAAAGGAATCTTCCATAATCTAAGGGAATCTTCAGAGGTTGTCCAAATATTTACAGTCGCCTGCTAACATAGACTGGTGTCTAAATTCATAATCATTGGCAGATGATAATGTGGAAAACGCAAACAATGATAATGATGATAATAAAAGCTGTAGCGAAGACCAATAAGTAGGTCAATAATATTCCAAATCGATTAAGTATATTACTGTCTTGTATTATTTCTTCAAATATGCCCCAAACTAATAATTTACTACTAATTTATTATTACCCCAAATAAATAATTTTTATATACAAATTTCTTTTTAAAAAACACGTTTGTCCATATACAACTCATTTTATCCAATAATTTCCACAATGGAGTTCAAGCTTATAAGTACATTCAAACTTTCATCAGTAGTTTCATTAACTTGAGAAAGTTAACAATAATTTTCATGTTTCAAATGTCTACCAATTTCATCATGGAAGGTTTTCCTTCTCCTTAAAAATTGTGATTTTTGGACTATGGTAGTTTTTTTAAAATCGTTCTAATTTATAAGAAATTCTTGCTCTGCTTCACTACTCAAAGTTCCTACAATCTGCTGATAGATATTGTCATTTCTCAGTGTAGTTGTAAAAATTTTTTTCTTCAGTTGTGTATCGTATCACGACCCTTAAAATTGAACACTGCAAATCAGATTACATCAAGGTGTTGCCTATTCTTAATAGACTTTGTATTTAAGTGATGTGACAAAACATTGAGGTAAATTATAAAAAAAGGTTTTCATGTGTGTGCATTTGCAGATGGAGCACATTCAGATCACATGACGATTCCCTTTCGCGTTATGAACTAACGCGGCTTCCTATGGGAATTGAGCCAATGGAACACTTTGACGCAGTATTTGGAGGCAGTTTGTACAGGAAGCGCAGGCAAGATAATGAATCGGAGACGGAGGAACCTTCACCAGAAGACCTGAAGGAAAAATGTGTGGAAAAAGTGAAGCTAATTGTGTTCGAATACAACCTTCGCCTTAACGTTGGAAGAATAATTTTAATGGGAAATGTTGCAGATATCGTCACCACCAGTACGTATATTTCATTTATATCATAAACAGAAGTAGATTATGCTAATAGACAGTCGAGCCACATAGTATTGTGAATCTCTGAGATGTAACAGATCCTCACATAGCACATGACACTTGTCACTTTTCGTATACTAGAAAAGCTGCTATTCAAATTGGGCGACTGACTGTCTACGTGTATCCCCCTCCTTTCTCGCGTGTGAAAATTTAAAGGAAGCAATTTATCGAGGCTTAGTGTCTTATCGAGGCTTAGATCGACTTATTTCCCCTGATATACCGGTTACACATAGTAATCCTCGAGCAACCTAGTCTATAAAATGCGGGCTGTCAAGGCATGATATCTGTATTATTTAACTTCACCCCAAGCGTGATGTGGTAAACTGAAAGTTGTCAATTCTTCCAAAATCAACCAACAAGCCGGATATAAACAAAAGACTTCTAATTAGTAATCCAATGTTCTAGTTGTATATAATAAGAACATAATGATACAATCTAGCAGCGAAGATTTGGAAAAAGAGTGTCCTTGGTGAAGTCGAAATTTGAGCGCTGTGTCGAGGGACGTTCCGTGCTCATCAAACGAGCGAGCGTTGGCAAGTTGGGTGAGACGCATCTGTTGGTCACCGTGTGTGTCACCGAACGCCCATGTGGTAGGATAGAGTCAGGACTTAAAGAATTTCATCGTTATCATCATTTCACTTTCTCTAACGTTCATCTATTCATTAACGTAGAAGGAACTCGATCAATTTAGCTTTGAATCCATCTTTGAAGATCGCAACTACTCAAGCACAGATTCCCGTGGATGCGTTAATAGCACGCACGCACCTGCACCCACCTGCTCGACGCAGTGGTCCTGCGGGCCGGCTCGAGTCCAACCCGGCACCGGAGACCAGAAATTCACTTGCAGAGCTGCATTGAGTCATGGATAGGATGGATGTCACTCAGCGTCAGGAGAAATGACTTACGGGGAGGGGGTGCGGGGAACCCTGGCACTCAGTTTTATACACTGCGGCAAGACAAGGTAACGAGCTGGATGGTGATCCAATCGGGAGTTTTGTTACGACTTACATGTTTGGTATTGGAGTTCGCGATTGGTTAACAGTGTTCCCCTCACCATCCAGAACGTTACCTTGAAGTGCCACTATATTTAAATCGTGTATAGATTGTTTAAAGTGTGTATAAATCGAGTATGACAGCCATCAGCCCCAAAGCGCATGACTTCCCTCCCAATTACAAGATACCCTCACCTCCCAATAACTCCCCTCTCATCTCGGAATGGACTTACAAGTCAGCTTCATGATGTCTGGTAGAGTAATTTATTAACTGGTAACTCTATTAATATTAATAGAGTATATATGTCTATTAAGAGTAAAGGAATCAATGAAATCGGTTTAATAGTTTATGAGAAAACGAGAAACTCTATTTTGAGAAAAATGCATCCAAGGTTTTTACTAGGAATTACCCATCGTATTCGTTGAATTATTATGCGTAAAAGCGATCTGCTCCTTATTGGGAATTATGCTCTTTTTTATTGATATCTAGACGCTGTTTGCTCTTCTGTTTCTGACTTTTTGGTCATTTTCTCAGCTGAGAACTTTGTTTGAGAGGATGGGATTGACTTGATCAATTCTGGAGTTAAGATTTTCATTACTAAACGTGTTTTCTTCATTACATACGTTATTACCATCAACGGTCTTCACGATTGAATTTATTTAATTTCTTTACACGCTACCGGCTTTGATGGTACAGCTGCTATCATGCCGGGCTACTGATCCCAAGTACACGAGTTCAAACCCTGTGAAAGCGGTGGATTTTTGAGGTGCCAAAAATCGACGGCATACAAGTGAATGTCTATTGGCATGAAAAAGGCACTTGACCGATACTGGCAAAATTAAATCCTCTGGAAATTTAGCACCAATCAAAGTTTGATTTGGATTGCGGATATTGTATCTTCGCCTGCGCTATCTGGTATTCAAAGGACAAATTGGCACAATAGAACCCAGAGGGAAAGCAATAGAAAACTACACTTGGTATACTTGCTCAAGATAAGTCTCACAAGAAGGCTCTAGGGGCTTCTGGAGACTCATGTACTCATGATTCAATGTACGGCAGAAAACGAAAGTTCACAAGCTATTTCAAAACAAATTTTGGTTTTGTCATTGCAGTCGAACTAGTTGACATTTCTTTTACATACCAGGCTATCCCACCACTTACCCCAAGAGAGGTATAATAATACTTAAATTTAAAAGCCCAGAAGAACAACATGCTTGCTAAATTCCACAGCTAAACAAGATAACCGAATATGAAACTGCGAAAACTACAGCCTCCAAAAGACCATAGTTTCAGAACTAGGTATGTTTAGGGATGTAAAATAATGAAATATCTGAAATATCAGCATGTCTGTGTTGATGCACATTCAAAACGCAATAAAAAAACAAATATCAATAATTTTTCAATACAAATATATCAAAATGTTTAGAAAAACCTAGAGATTATTTTTATGATTAAAAACAAAATTCGATATTTTATTAATTTTTTTGGTAGGAATATTACCTTAAACAGAATGATTCGCTGGACCTTTCATGTGAATTGCAATTTTTTTCTGTTCTTATATGGGCATTTAGTATGTATTATTATATATATGACGAAATTGTATTTATTTTTAATGTATGTACGTAAAATATGTAATGTTTGACCGTATAACATTTTAAATAAACATGAGGAGTTTCATCAATGGACGAACACTCCTTTCAAGTAGTTGGCGAAAGTATGTACATTTGACAATTGTTTGAAGAAAAACACATTGTAAATTAAAATATATATTTAAAAACATTCATTTGTATGAAGTGTCAATGTTTTGCCGCATGCATACATTTTTGCACGTAACAAAAGCCAGTGATTGGGCAGTACATACTACCTCAAGGCAGTTTTTCAAAACATCCATCTCTCCAAAATACCAATACTGTCTTTTTTTAAATAATTTAAACACGATAACAATTTCCAAATTTCTTTTTAAATAATTTTTTATCGCTGGTAAAAAAAGACCCACTTTGCTGGTTCGAAAAAAATTTCAATCACACTCAAAATGGGCTATGACGAAAAAAATCAATGGCTTAGCAAAAAAGGTTAGTGCCAATGAGAAAACAAATGAACCAAACGTCAGTTAAAAAACATCAACACAGTTCCACAAATCCCAGAAAAGCCGTTTTGTCTACTCCCAATACATAATTTTGTCATTTGATGGCTGCAATCGGTTGCATAATAACGATACAGATGAATTTCGATAGAGATTTCATTATGACACAGGTTCTTGATCAATCACAAAGAGGTTTATAAAAACAAGTACTGACAATCATTGAAAATTTATCTAGTAAATTTTTCGTTCGATTATGTACATTAAAATTGAATTTAATATTATATTATGCTTGTCAGTTTTAATTTATTTTATACTTAAATTTTTGTGGAGAATTATATAAAATAAATTTAATCGTAATTCCACTTTGATGCTATTTGACTAGCGCAGTACTCCCTCGCAGGCAGACGGGTATTCCTCGCGCAACTTTTCTTGAACGATGACCTTGCTTCCCCCTCTCTGGCACAATAAACAGATGAAGGCAAAAGCTCGCAGCGAGCACCGATAACGGCATTCCGAACACATCGTCACTGGCGCGAAATAGAAACAATTTTCTTTTGAAAATGTCCGTTATTTTCTCCAAAAATCTAATGAAATGTCCGAATCAGATAAAGGTCTCTCACAGGAAATACCTCGAACGCCTGAGCAAGATAATACGAAAATTATTGAGAATGTTGTGAAGGCCTGACTGATTCTTCAGATATTGGCGTTGCTTCATAAAATCTATTGGCTGATTTTGTAACTAACATCCCCACTCTACCCGCATTTTGTTCAATCCATCGTTCAAGAAAAGTAATAAGGAAAGCCACCTGCGATAAAGTAGGGTACGAGTTAGGGAGCTGTCCGCTAGCTGACCTTTGCTGAATCCTGCATGTCAACTGCCACAAAACGATTCAATTTAAACGTTCAACTTATAGAAGTTACCATAAATTGTAGAAAAAGGACCGTATGAAAATTTATGTAATGGGTATTAATACACTCGTGAGATGTTTTGGATACTCACTCGTTCCACGCTCGTATCGTAATATCACACTCGTATATTATTACCCATTATCACATCATCGTTTCATAATGTACTATTTCCGCTCCCAGAAGCAATTTTTCAGAAACAAAAGTGTAAATTTTATTTTATCGTATTATTTTCTAATCATAAATCTAATGCAAACTTTTTTTTTGTTATCTAAGGTCGCATCAACTACTAGGTCAATAGCGACCACTATTGCTTGTAACGGTATGGTAACTGTGGGTTCACACGATAATGATGATGGTAGGGGGTGAAAGGACGAAACACAATACAACCATGCCCGAGGTGGGACTCGAACCCGCGATCCTTCGGCCCGAGTTCGCTACGGCACTACTGCCTTAGCGATCTCGGCCACCGGATCGGCTACTTTTGGTTTTGTATTGTCACAAATTTTATTTTTAAAGGATGTTTATAAATCATTATGTCATTTTGTTTATTGCAGCGGTTATGATGCTCCAATTAATGGCCTACCTAATTGACATAATATTTATCACTGCCAATGCATTACTCATTTTCGGAGCTGCATTGGTGAGTATAAAACTAAATATTTTCAAATCGTATCACTTTATATAGTACTAACAAATATGTAATTCAATATCATGTAAAATGAAAGGAATAATAGTTATTTACGGTATAAATGTCGTAAAGCATCTGATTACAATACGAGATTGGAAAATTGGCAAACGAGTCTATTAGGTCGAGTTTGGTAGTCATGTGAGTATTGTCATCTGACGTTACGACCCGAATATTGTACAATGTTTTATTCGCTTCGTAAAAATTTGTTACATCATCCTACGCCTTCATTTAGTATTCACATTTTTTCTCTCCTGTAAGTAGCAACTTTGTTAAGAAGGAGATCAATTGAAAAACACTTGGTGAATACTTTTCACATTAGTGAATATAGTTAAGATTTCCAAATAGTAATAGCAGAAAATGCTGCTATAGAAACATTTTACCCAACAAATTAAGAATGAAATATGAGGGTGAGTATTAAATGTTTAATGATTGGTGTGAAAAAAAACGTTCATATCATTTGAGAAAAAATGTTGATTGATTACTTTTCTGGCAAGTCAGAGAAGAAACCAAGTAGTCTTTGGAACCACTACTCTATATCACAGAATACAATATGACAATATTGATACCAGTACGAACACTCAGTTCTTAGCGTTTTTAAAAAGGATAGGTGAGGAATACAAGACAAAGATGCCAAAATATTGTCAAAAGAAGGGTGGAAAAGTATGCCATTGCTTTACCACCCTGGAGTCACAATAAAGTACTAGGATGGTGAAGTGCTTTGTAAAAGTTATGAACTTGATTGGAAAGATAGATCTAGAATAGACGATTTAAGAGAGTTGTCGAAAATATATATATTGATTAGAGTATTAATTTACAAAATGCACGACTATTTGTCTTTAGTTTAATATTAATTTCATGTAACTCATTCTAGATACCCGCTCCTGCCTCTACTATCGATTTTCTCGTTCTCTACTCCTGGCATTTTTCTGCCCTTCCAGCGCCGCAGTACGTTCATCCTGCCGTGGATGGCTTTCTGGTGGCCGTTCATTATCGTCCACATCTTCTACATCTGGGTGGAAACGTTTTTGTCCTCAGAATCAGATCACTTTGGGCTAACTATTGCCGTTTTCTGTAAATTCTTTGCTATTCTGATAGTTATCTTAGGTAAGCACCGTTGCAAAAGCACAGTAATCTTTAATACACCTTCACGCACATGGGAAATTTTGGTCAACTACCAAACGAAAATAAAAAATCAAGCAAACACAAGCCAATTACAACGTAGATGATGCGAATCGTGTAAAATAAATCAAAAGTAAATATGTGATAAACTAAATGTAGCGTTTGTTGATGCTCTTAGGAGAGGCGCAAAGGAGTGAAAATTAAATAGAATTCAACCAGAATTTTGATACTCTAAAGGAAAAGTGTGGTTCAAAAGCATTTATTTACACACTGAATTTGCAATATAAGTCAAATTTGTGCTATCACGTAAAAATAGGCAATTTGAAATTGAATATAACCTTCTTTGTGAGTTGTGATCAATTTCTCTCCACCGAGTTGTTCAATAATCAATGGAAAATTGTCGGGATCTGGCACCATATTACAAATGTCAAGAAATTTGTTTCAGTTCTCATTGCGAAGTCGATTCAAATCTAGTATTTTGTGTTAGAGTATTCGTTACCGTAATCGTGTGCGGTCCTGCACCTCCTCACGCTTTCCTTCATCACTCAATCGCACGCAACCTCATAACCAGAACCTGGAAAAATATGTAGTATGAAATGGAAAAATATGTACATAAATCAGTAATGAAATGGATAAAAATTTCTAGTAAATATGTAAAAGAGGACGTAACATGTAATATTAAAATACGCTCTTATTTGTTGTACATTTACATAGAAGTACATTTACACAATTTTAAAATACATTAATAAAATATTTATTAAACCAAATTTAAAAATTAATATTGCCCGGCTTCTTGAATTAACTGTTTAATAGTACATATTTTTAGAGAAATTAAAGATATTGTACAAACAAGGGTAATCAATGACCGACAAACAACTAATAATTTATTCTTACACGTGCGCAACAAAATAAAGAAACACCACGTCCCTGATACATTCCGCTTCTATACGTAATTCTTTCAAATCTCACGCGATCTTGACGTGACATAGGGTAGTCGATGGTGGCAGGGCCGGCGATTGGTGTAAAGTTCGAGCGGGTAGTAAACCCGGTCCCCGTTCCCCCACCTGATACAAATTCATAGTCAACTAGCCTATAATTTTGTACTAAATTAAGAAATTTTGTACTCAACTTTAAACAATTAAAAAATGGGTGCCAATGAAGCACTTCTCGCACAAATGTCCTATTTTTTAAAAAAACATTTTGAGTCAAATTTTGAAGTTGACATTTATAATCCAGTTTGGTATCATAGTGATCTTTTAAGTAAGCATATTTCATAATTTTATCTGGTTTCTCAACAGAGATATTACAGTCTCCAAACGCAAAAATTTGCGAGCGGCTCCAAACAAAAGAGGCCGCCATCGCACCCCCGTCTCAAAAATTCAAAATCAAGTAGCCTATAATATTTTGCAAATTCTGTAACAAAATAAATAATTTTGTACTCAAGAGTAAGCAATTAAAAATGGTGAAAATGAAGCAATTTTCGGGTTAATTTCTGATTTTTTAAACATATTTTGGATCATATTTCGAAATTGAAATTGATATTGCAGTTTGGTACCATAGTGGTCTTTTTCGTGAAATAATTTTACATTTTTATCTTGTCCCTCAACAGACTTCTTTATGAATAATAGGCCTTCAATTTTTGCCAGATTAACAGGCAAATATTCATTTTGGAAACAATCCTAACCATATTTTAAGTTTTGATGTTCCTAGACGAACAGACTGACAGACACACACAGACGAACCACATTTTTCCGGTATCAAGAATTCACAGTTCGTAAAATCTGAGTACATAACCTGTTAGAGGAAGTAATTTACTACATGGTGAGATTTATCCACTTTTTTGTTGTCAGGGCTCTACAATATGAGTTTTCTGTTGAAAACTTTCCATTTTTTACCGCAACATTACATAACTTTCTCTGTATTACGTATATATGTACCAGTACATATGTGCATAAACGAGATAGTAAAAATGGCACATAAAATCTTCACAAAATAGGAACTGTTTTTTATTCTTTGTTGAGCAAGATGATTTGTGAAACGATCAGCAACATGTTTCATCCATATCCTGTGAAATTCTATTTGCGTGTCTCACCTTGAATAAGAGGATTTCAATAAGTCTTCATGTTTATAAACTACCCAAACAAGTTGGTCCATATCCTGTCGAATGGCTTAGTTTGAACCAATAATGTAAGTTAATTTGGTATGTTCTCTTGGAACTCAACCCGCGTTATCACAACGTTTTGGATATAGGGAGACCGCGACTGCTGTCAAGTGGGTACTGAAAATAAACGGTCGAAAACGTCTGTGTTCGTGAAATTGCTAATTCAGTCGGGCGTATATTCACTCTGACATTCTGTTAGTGAATAATTTCGGAGCCTTCTGTGGGAGCTGTTAATAATTTCAAAACGACAAAATTTGTCGTCTCTTACAGACGTACATCACGGCTGAGAGGCAATCTGTCCTGCAGAAGGCTCTTAGACAAATATTCGAAGATTCAATCATAAACAATTATTTGTTTCTTTTTTATTTCAGTTTTGGGGTTCTTTATTTTCTGGCTGGTTTGGTGCTTTTATTATTTGCTCTTTACTCCAGAAGAATATATGGAGCAACTGAGTACAATTTCACAGTTAGTGGTAACTGGTAGAAATATAAGAGGCTAATTATTAAAAAATAATTTAAGGTTTTTGACAATGAAATAAACTTATTTACTTATATATTTACTTATTTATTTATTTATTTAAACTATTGAGTTTCCGAAAAACTACATAATGTAACGAGTATTGTATCATCTGCCGGGATTCGTAGCGCGGATTGCGTCATCTGCCGGCGCCCCCCCCCCTTCCCCCGAGTTGGACGGTTCAGGGCTATTCGCGAGTCGCGTAGAAATGTTGCGTACGTTCCCGATGGCTCGAGGCGAGCACCGGCCAGGTATAAGTGAGCCGCTGCCGGTCAGTTAGTGTATGTAGTCAGTCGGAAGTCAAGTAAGAAGTGGAAGTGGTAAGACGTCAGTCCATCAGTATGAGTATGCAGTAGTCTGTCTGAAGTGGAAGCTGAGCTATGAAGTGTGCATTGCGGTGAACAGTGGTGCAGTGGGGAAACAGCAGTCAGCTGTTTGAAGTCTGAAGTGGAAGCTGACCTGTGGAGTGGGCATCGCCGTAAACATCAGTGCAATGGATCCTGGTCTGCACAGTAAAGTGTGGTTTGCGCAGTGTAGTGTGGTCTGCGCAGTGAAGTGTGGTCTGCGCAGTGAAGTGTGGTCTGCGCAGTGAAGTGTGGTCTGCGCAGTGTAGTGTGGTCTGCGCAGTGAAGTGTGGTCTGCGTAGTAAATTGTGGTCAGCGCAGTGAACCGGGGACAGTGCATCGGACTGTCTTAGAGTGTAGAAGAAGTGAATAGTGTAAATAAATAATCAAGAAGACGGACTCGTGTGTAAGGAAAATAGTAAAGAACACAAGGACTGTGTAATATATCTGTAAATAAATCAAGTATTTAAGAGTAGCATTAAGAAGCAAAATAAACGTCTTTGTTTAAATAATATCTGTGTGTGTTTTAATTCACCACGGAGAAACGTTACAATAAGAAGTCATTTCAAGCACTGTCAATCAGAAATGCAAAAGTGTTTACAAATCGCAGAAAGTGTGCAAATTAAAGCGTGAGAGATCTCTTAAACAAACAATATTAGTGTACTTTTTGGAAAAAGAAAAAATACCCCGAAATTAACTTAACCTCATATTAAAAAGTGCATGTAGCACTATCCCTTCGAAAAGTTCGGGGGAAAATATTGGAGCCTTTTCAGAAAATGGCATTTGAGCGTTTTTGAAACTGCGGAAGT